ATGTGGCTGGAAGATAAGGGGATGTGGATTATATCTGTCTCTTATACACATCTAGATGTGTATAAGAGACAGTTTTTATATTTATTTGTATATTTATATATATATTTATTTGTATATTCATTTATATATATGTATATTGTTACGGCCGAAATACGCCTGGTTCACTCACTCATCTCTACAGCAACGTCACAGCATTACGCATGACAATATAACAATAAACTCAAACGATTGCCTTTCCTATGTATCTTTATTCAACATCACAGATCCCAGGTCTTGCCTGTTCTGGATCTGAGCACCAACTACCTCACTTCAATGTTTTCTGCCTATACATATTAACACCCTAATGACATAAACATGTATCCACCGTGGTGGTAAAAAGCCAGCACAAAGGCAGTAAGGTTATGTAACCCAGACAAGTGTCTGGCCAAATCTGACCTTGCTTGTGGAAACAGTCACATTAATTATCGGACCATGCTTGTGCAGAAGGTCTTGGGCTATGTTCACACACACGGCGTAAGGCTGGCTTAAGCCTGGCGTAGCGTACGCCTTTGTGTGTGAACTAGGCAGTGGCGTTGTTAAAGCCACTCACTACGCTATTATTAACGCTACCTGCAGACCCCAGATTAGCTAACGCCACTGAGCTAACGCCAGTGATGCTTGAATGATTTTACCTCATTTCAAGAGATTGACCAATCACGATTGCAATATATTAGCTAATTTGGTCTCTTTTCTGTGCTCTCTATAAATAAAATGGTAAAGGGGTTCCTTTACTATTGCATTTTACTTAGTTATAATGTATATGATTCATTGATTGTGTTTTGTAAGATATTTTAACCATTTAGAATGTCTATTAAAACATGTAACATCAACAATGCTAGCTGAAAAATCGAAAGTAAAATTGTTCATTTAAAATACAATAATCATATAAGTTCACTTCGAACAATTCACATATTTAAGTTTTCATGATGCACTGTTAATTTTACTACTGTTGTTAACACGTACATTATTTAAAACTGAAAACTATTCCACATAGGCCTATATTACTGCTAGTTTTTAACGAACGCCGTTTGTGTGAACATAGCCTTATTAATTATACTGTAGAAAAAATCTGGGATGAGTATGCCTATAGGCTACCCTAACAATATATATATATATATATATATATATAAAGGTGAAACGGGTAATAAATTCCGCCTACAATTTAATAACCATAAACATTCCATCCGCAATAACACCCCTGGTTTCCCTGTAGGGGAACACTTTAACTCCCCCCACCACAATATTCACTATCTCAAAGTGACTCTCATAGCCAGTAACTTCCGCTCTACTGAACACAGACAACGAGAAGAACTGAAATGGATTTTAAAACTCAAAACACACACTCACGGCCTCAATAAAGACTTGGGATTCATCAGTGAATTTTCCTTCTGCCGCTAAATATTCTTCTCTTAGTTTTCGGTCACTTTTAATTATAATTTTATTTCTATTTATTCGGTTTTATTATTATTATTCTGCTAGGCCTATTCATTATATATTATTGTTGGTATTTTCACTCTAGCTTATACTATTGTAGAACTTTCTGTTTCATTTTTTCAAGATGCACTATATCTATGTATATTATATGCCTTATACAATACTACATAGGCCTATATCATTTTGGCTTCTTGCTCCCATCATTACAACTATGTTTTATTTGCCTTTCAATACCTTTATATACCCACATTTATTTAATTTACAATATTGCTTTGTATAATTTTATATATATATATAATTTTTTTATTTCTTTTTATTTTTTATTTCTTTCTTTTTTTTTTTCAAAGCCGCATCCTGTTCTTGATTTTAGTTATGCCTTATGTTTAGCTTATCCATTAACCATGG